GGGTTCGCATCCAGGCCTACTGCGTTCTCCCCGCACTCCTGTGCAGACTTCGAACTCAGACGGTTTGACCGAAGGTACCATCGAATGTACTAACTGCCTAGTAGCGGGAGAGATTTGTGAGTAGGTTCTGTAGATAGATGTTCAATCTTGGCACGGCGGATATGGTCGCTCTGTAATAAATGGAAATAAACTATGTTACCGGACCTCGACCTCTCGCTTTACAGCGATGTTTTGTAACGACTGGCGGTAAGTAGTCCACTACTCGACTATACGCATGAGTGAGAGACCTGTGTTTCTAGCCTGGGATATAGTTTTGAAGAGGGCATGTTAGTCTCGAGTGATAGCTTAGGGACAGACTCGTCAGCTAGACGAACTCGTTTCACAAAGTCGATTGCTCCTGTTGTATTGACTAGAGTGCTGGGGCGTAACTTGCTTACTCAGCCAGTTATGATTGTGGATTTTTTTGTTTCAACTCCTAGGTCTTTCGTGCGTCGGCTGCATTGTTGGAAGCGAAACAACCTCATGGACTCAGACGTCTTAGTCCTCTGTACCAGGCGAAACTGGGTCGACTAGGTGGTCAGGACCCGTCCTCTTGAAGGGTAGCGGCGACTTTCTAACTCTCCCGAGTGGCCTGAGGGTGGTGAGAGGCTCCGCCGGTCCAGGGGCGCTATTTGGTCCTCGTAGGACTAATTTGAAGACCTAAAAGTCCTGTTCTTCTGCTTAGGAGGCACAGCGGTCCCTCTTTCCCTGGTGAATTTAAGGTACTGAGCTAGTAAAAGGGTAGATGGGACTAAAGTCACAGCTCCCACTACTTGTTCGGCGGCAGAGAAACTGGGTCAGTTTGCGGTTGGAGGCACCGCCTACTTTATGAAGTACTTCATAGGACGATGTGACACACAGTGGCACCTACCGTTTTACGTCTCAAAGTTGGACAGTATTTCGCGCGACTTCGCCGGAAAGTACAGGCTTGGCTTGAGTGGTCGGACGACCATACAGTATAATCAGGTACGAACAGAAACAAATAGAAGGAACAAAGATAGACTGCAGTCTTATTTACACCAGAACGGCAACCGATTTGACGGGAGTGCACTGAACACGACAG